TCCGGGTGTTGGGGTAGGGAGTCTAGGTCAGGGTCTGGGGATTCCCTCCAGCTCTGGTCTGCCTTGAGGGATACACTGTCCCCTGTGAAGTACTCACCCTGGAGCTGGTTGTTTCTGTGTGGTGTAGGTCGTCAGTTGTTGTTGCAATCCGAGTTCAGTTGGGGTGGTTGCAGGCTGGGTTGGGCGCCCCCCGCCGGGTCGTTGCAATCGCGATGTGGTCCCTTTGTCGCGCTGCTGGTGCTGGGCGGCTTTGGCGGGATGGAGCCTCTCCGCTCTGGTGGAGAGTGAGGGGTGGGGGTGGGATCCTCGTGGAGAATCCCGGCTGGTAGGTTTCTCTGTTCCTGGCGATCTGCTGTTCTGCGAACCGTTACCTGGTGATCTGCAAGCGGCCCCCTGTGTCTCTGGGGCTCCGGCAGCCCCCGCCGGGCCGGCTGGCCGGCGGCTTGGCGCACTGCTGCGCGGCCAGTAAAGGTTGGGGGAGGGGTCTTCGCTCTTCTCTGTTCTGAAATTCTTCTTTTCCTCTCTTTCGTTTTTTGTTATTTTCCACCTCTGGTTTTTCTCTGAGTGTTCGTCTTTTTGTTGTTGTTGGTCTCTTGGGGAGATTAAGCGTTGGAACTCGAACTCTCTTTTTGGTTGGAGAGAGCTGTGGCGTTTCCCTACTGCCCCGTCGCCATCTTGGTCCCCCCCATGAGAGTACATATCTTTTTGGACAATGTTACCCCTGCTCTCACTCTGTCCCAGTTTTCCCCTCCATCCCCATACACAAGTTGTATAGTTCATTTTCAACATAGTAAGTATCACCATTGTCCCTCCATTTCTGTGAGGATATAAGGATCTTAGGACCAGGGGTAGAACAGCCTTGATGGTAAAGTCCCTGACTCTGTCCATTTGGCTGCCTGCTTTTTCAATGCCAAGATGTATTATAAGAATTCCAGGACTATGGTATCCAGGAGGTACCAGCCCTGAACACCTATGGGGTAGCTTCAGGCCTTGAGGAAGCACATGATTTTAGGGGTGATCAGGTCCAGTAAGTGGTGTCAGAAGAATGACTCTAAACACATCAGAAGGAAGCAAAGTATTTGTGTGAGGTGTGTGTATATGTGTTAGAGGAAGTATGTGTGTATACTCAGGTGTTGTTTGTCTGTATGTGATATATGTGGTAGAGGGCCCAGGTATGTGAGTGTATGGTGTGAGTGTGTGACATGGGGGTTATGTAGTCCTTTTGACCTATGATTCACAGATCAAACTCTTACTATTGCATTTCCCCCTGGTGATGCCATCTTGATGGGACTCATGGTCTTACTCCCTCAGAGGGCCGACCCAGCCTGAGACCACAAGGCATCTGTGACCCTCAGACTGGCCTCAAGTGATCCAGGAGAATCTGGGCTCAGCCTGTACTAACTCCTCAGTTGAATCTCCTTGATCAGCTTCTTCTGAGCAGTGGTCTGGTCCTGCCCTAGCCTCCTCAGTGGAGACAGTGACCATTACAGGTGAGACCACCCCTAACCTGTGTCTTTGTGTCCCCAGAATGCACCTGCTGCAGATTCCCGGCCCAGCCTACTCTGTGGCCCCCTAAGATTGTCAGACAATGGGATGGACTGGAGTGAAGTGTGGGCCGCCATCCCTGAGTCAGACTCCCAGGTGCTGGACCTGCAAGGAAACAACCAGGTGTGTGTCCCTGCTCTCTACTACCACAGCCCAGAGTCTCGGGCCTGCCACACCTGCAGCAGGTTTGATTCACCAACCGTCAGTGACCTGGCACTCATTGCTTCCTAGAAACCCCCCCTGTTCTTCATTCACAGAAGGCAGGCCTCCTAACTATGCCAGGACCCCAGTGAGATCCAGGGTGGGGTGGGATAGAGAAAGCTAGAATAGAGGGTAAGTAGATGGCACAGATGCTGGCCCTTCCTTGCTACACATATTCATCCATTAGCTCTTCGTTCACTCATATCCTGGGTAGATTCCATTGGCAGGTGGACTCAGAAATCTTTGCCTCACCTCTCTCAGCCTCAGTAGCTGTCCCAATGGCTGAGGCCAGACAGTTTGAGGGAAGTTTAGGGAAATAGGAGGGCCTCCTCCCAGCAACTCCCTAGTGAGAGCTGTGGGCCACCGGTTCTCATGTAGACAGAAGTCAGCACACACATGTCTACCAGGCTTGTCTGCTTTGTGCCATATAGGGTTGGGCATGGTTGCTTGGGAAGATGGGGAACTAGAGTATACCCATGACTCTGCTGATCCTCTCTCCATCCTGCAGGCTGCTCAACTGCCATGCACCATCCGCCTCCCTGGCTGCACAGTGAGTGTACCAGACCCCAAGGAGCACCTACAGGCAGAGCATGTGTGGAAGCTGCAGCAGGGCCAGCAGACCTGGTACCTGAGTGCCTCCTCAACAGAACTACAACAGCGCTGGCTGGAGGTCCTGACCACCACTGCTCAGGGTGACACAGTCCAGAACAGCCAAGGAACCCTGTAGTCCCAGGCATGGCCATTCCATGAGCCTAGCCCCACCCACAGCCCTTTGCACTGCCATGTCAGACTTGTGTTCTGGGAGGTGATATTGGAGGCCACATGAAGGAATGAAGACTGTCAGTTGCCCAGAGCATGAGGCATTTGGCTTTGGAAGTCTCCTTTTGCTTTAGAAAGGAGGAAACAGAAATTCAAAAATGAACAGCCTCTTGTCCAGGGACCATCCAGCAGATCTTGGGCAAGAGCTCAGCCTCTGATTCTTAGCCCAGAAGTATGGCCAGAACAGTGAGCATGGGCCACTGCAAGATAAAATGTCACCAAGCTGGTTGTGGTGACATTAACTAGCAAAAGGCAGAAAGGAGGCCCAGGGATGGTTTGCAGCTGGCCCTGGGTTAGGCAGAGCTACATACAGCTCACCTTGGCCTCGGTACATCCTGTCCACTGTGTGAGCTAGGCTGTGACTCACCTCCAATGGGTAGCATCTCCCCTTTCTGCCCTCTCCCAAGACTCTGCCTCACAGTCTACCTCCCCTGTTGATCAAGAGGTCGACCTGCCCCATCTCATCTTGACACGTGGTTCCTGAACACCACATTGGGAAGTTCTTCAGGGAAGCTGGTCCAGGCCCTGTGTGGCAGGCATGTGAGGTTCACTGCTGACCCTGTAGCGGGCAGATGCAGTGCTTGTCTATGTAAATAAATGCTGGCTGTCAGCAGCAGGTTTGGCTTCAGCATCCTCTACCCCTCCACTAGGCAAATGAAGCATGGAGGACAAGGGTGGCAGAATTGCATAGACTGCATGCCAGGCCTGGAAAGCAGCTCTGCAGCTCTGGTGCTGCCAGAACTGGGCAGACATCTGGGGGATGTCATAAAGGTCATAGGGTTGAGAAAATACTCTGAGAGGATCTAGAAACCGATGGTGGGATCTGGTCCTTCAGGACACTCCCCTCTAACATCCAATCCACACTGCTTTGTGTGGAATACCTGAGCAGACATGGGAGGCACCTCCCTGGCTGAGAGGGAGTGGCTAGAACCAGAAGTGGGTAGTTGTCACAGGTAAGATTAGGTGAGAGAGCACAGTTAGAATACAGGTAGCTGTATATATATATATAAGCCAGCTGGCATGGTTGTGGGTTGCCCCAAAATGACTGTACATACTTGAACCTCTGTGTGGCACTCACTATGAAGAAACTGAGGCAAGAGTCAGGAACAAAGCAGCTGGAGAACTTGCACATTGCATGGTGCTTGCCTGAAAGAGATGGACCACTTCCTTTTGGCTACTATAGCTCAAGTTGGGGCAGTGGCAGTGGTAGAGGAGAACAGGTGTCCACAGGGGCCTCAGAAGGTTCTTTCCTTGGCTCAGTGCACAAATGGGGTGTGAGCAGAGAAGAGATGGGAGGGGGGGGAGTTTCACAGATCTCACCAGCTGCATGGGTCCAGTGAGGGATGGGCAAGGAGATGGGGCTCTGTCACTCATACAACAGGTAAGTGAGCAAAACCAGAGCTAGAAAAGGTGGGGAGCCTCAACCAATGCTCCTCCTTAGATTTTCCTCCAGCTACCTCAGGCCTTTGTACCTGCTGTTCCCTGTGCCTGAGACTTTTTCTGCAGATCCTCCTGGGGCCTCCTGAGCCTTTGTCTACTGTCTTGTTTAACTCTATAATCTCTTGTGTAACATATTTCCCCAGGTAGAATACAAGCATGAGTGCTTGTATTCAGGATGAAACTGAGTATGGTGGCTCAAACCTGTAATCTTAACTACTTGGGAAGTAGGAATGGGGGATTAAGATCCTAGGACAAGGCTTAAAAATTTCAAAAGACTCCATTTCAACCAATGGCTAGGTGTGGTGGTACACCTCTGTTATTCCAGCTACAGGGGAAGTACAGTGGCTGGGCTCAATGGCACAAGCCTATCATCTCCAGTGACTTGGGGAAATACAAGTTGATGAACCACAGCCCAGTCTAGCCTGGACATCAGGCAAGATCTTATCTTAAAATAAACAGCACAAATCAGGTATTGGTAGTTCATGCCTGTCATCCTAGTTACTCAGGAGGCTGAGATCTAGAAATCATGCTTCAAAGCCAGCCTCAGTAGGAAAGTTAGTGAGAGTCTTATCTCCAATTAAACACCAAAATACTGGAAGTGGGGCAGTGGCTTAAGTGGTAGAGTTCTAGCCTTGAGCTAAAATAGTCAGTGACAACGCCCAGGCCTGAGCTCAACCTTCAGTACTGACACAAAAATAAGTAAGTAACTAATACAAAAAGGGGGGCTGGAAGTGTCGCTCCAGTGGTAGTGCACATGCCTATAATGCATAAGACCTTGGACCTGGGTTCAATTCTCAGTACCAGGATGTGAGGGTGATCTGGCTGTGACATCTGTCACCCCATTGATGGCCAGGATTGATTTGGCTGATCTGGCTGGCTAGGCGGGTGTCCCCTTCCTCCCTCACCGCTCCATGTGCATCCCTCCTGAAGCTGCACACTCGGTCGAAGGGGACGACTATCCCCCATAGAGGAGGACCGGTCTTCGGTCAAGGGTATACGAGTAGCTGCGCTTCCCTGCTAGAACCTCCAAACAAGCTCTCAATTCTCAGTACCACCAAAAGAAGACAAAATAAAGAAGGTAGTAAGTCACCCCTCCAGCAGTGCCTGGCACACAACAGGTGCCAACAAAGTACTGCAGACATCTTTAGAAAGGTCCTGGGTTCTCCCATTGTGCCCTATGGTCCTGAGGTCTGGAAGTCTAATTGTACAATGCAGAAATGGAGGCTACCTGTGATCAGGAGGCCTGGCACTCTCCTGCCTCATCCACAGTTCTCAGGTTCTGGGGACATTACAGATAGCTCCTTCTAGATTCCTAGTTTCATCCTAGAGACTGTCACATTGAGACCCAGACAGCCGCCATGACTGGAAGACAAAGCACAGAACAACTTGGACTCAGGCGTACCCACCTCCCACTTTCCTATGGAAATAACAGGATGCCACCAAACCCAGGCCTTCAGGTAGAACTGGCCCTACCTCTCTACCTCTCTGCCACTTGTGCAGTCCACACAGCTTTGACCTGAAGGCTAAAGCAAGCTTGGGTTTCTCCAGGGGCCCTTCTACTGCCTGTAATGCAAGGTTCTTTGAGCAACTAGTCCTGTTGCTGGGAGTTGAGGGAGGAAAGCAGGCTTGCCTCTGTCTCTGTAGATGAATTCTCTCTAGATGTTCTTCAAGGAGATATCAAGAAGAGCCCTCAGCCCAGTTGGCAGACCCAATGGTAGCACAGTAATCCAATGGCCTGATTTCTTTCCTCCCTCCTTCCCTCCTTCCCTCCCTCTCTCCCTCCCTCCCTTCCTTCCTTCCCTCCCTCCCTTCCTTCCTCCCCTCCCTCCCTTCCTTCCTCCCTCCTCCCTTCCTTCCTCCCTTCCTTCCTTCCTTCCTTCCTTCCTTCCTTCCTTCCTTCCTTCCTTCCATTCTTCCTTTCCTCGTCCTCCTCCTCTTCCTCTTCTTCCTCTTCCTCTTCCTCCTCCTTGTCCTTTCTCCTCTTCTTCCCCTCTCCTTTCCCCCTTCTTCTCCTTCTTGGGTCAGTACTAGGGCTTGAACTCAAGACCCGGATGCTGTCCCTTAGCTTCTTCACTCAAGGATGACACTCTACCACTTGAACCATGCCTGCATTATCAGTTTTTTGATGGTTAATTGGAGATCAAAGTCTCACAGACTTTCCAACCCAGGCCAGCTTTGACTTACGATCCTTAGATCTCAGCCTCCTAAGTAGCTGGCATTACAGGCTCTGGTGCCCAGCCTGATTCTTTCAAGTGCTACCCTGAGATCCAGATTCTCCAGGGCTTCTAGAATACAGCATCAGTTGTCTGGGCAGGCAGCACCTGGCCCTGGGTGGGTGGGGTCCAGTCCAGGATCCCCCTCTCTCCCTGGAATGACGCAGCCAGGTGGGCTCTGTAGCAGTTAGCTGTCCCCTGTCCATAACCCCTCCACCACAATCCTTGATCACTGGTTTAGAGGGTCCCACCTGCAATCCTTGGGCAAAAAGTGAGAAGGGAGGGGACCTACACCCACTGACTCCTTTATTTGGGGGCTCCTCACTCAATTTTAACAATGTCAGATAAAGCTGGGACTGGAAGTCCGAGTGAGTCAAAGAGGGAGACAGTGGAATTAGGGGAGGCCATGAGGGAACCCAACATTCTGCACATTCCTCACTATAGCTGCTTGGCTTACAGGCCTGGCCTGGCCCCAGGACTTCCCTGCCTGGTTGACCTCTGGGCTTGTCACCAGCTCCCAGGTGAGAGCTTAGACAGAGGCCCAGGCAGTCATTAGAAGGCTACATCTTAGGCACAGTAGCAATAGCATGTGACCAATGGCAGGCATGGGCCACCTCCCAGCCTGTCAGGTTTCCCTGGGACTCAGGGTGCTTGGGCCCCTTCCTTCCAGATCACAGAAGGCCCATGCTCTGGTGCTGCCTGAACACAAATATTCCTAGGGGTCTTAGAAGATGGCACCCCCCTCTCTGCTTTCTCTGGGTTATAACTTCCCCTTGCCCAATGGTGTCTAGTCCAGCAGTTCAACCCCAGGATTCGGCCTATGACTTAAACTGGGTTCAGCCTTTTCTGACCAGCCAGGGTAGTACAATATGAGGCTGTGCCACAGAGCTGTAGGACAGCAGTGGGAATCAATTCAGAGAAGAAATGTGCTCCAGTCTAGGAGCCAGTGGCTCATACCTATGGAAGCTGAGATCTGAGGATTGTAGTTCAAAGCCAGCCTGGGCAGGAAAGTCTATGAGGCTCTTATCTCCAATTAACTACTAAAAAGCCAGTGGAACTGTGGCTCAAGTGGTAGAGTGCTAGTCTTGAGCACAAAAGATCAGAGACAGCTCCCCAGCCCTGAGTTTGGCTGGCACCAAAAAGGAAGAAAGAAGGAAAGAAGGAAGAAAGGAAGGGAAGGAAAGAGGGAGGGAGGGAGGGAAGAAAGAAGAGAGAAAGAAAGAAGGAAAGAAACCAGGGAGAAAGAAAGAAAGGAAAAAAGAAAAGAAGAAAGGAAGGAAGGAAAGCAAGCAAGCAAGGAAGAAAGAAAGAAAAAATCAAGCAAGCAAGCAAGCAAGCAAGAAAGAAGAAAGAAAGATAAACAGAAAGAAAGAACTTACCTTCAGTATACAGTGACATGAGCAGGGCTAGCAGACACACTAGCCCTTGGTCATCAGGATTGGTCTATGACCTGAGATGAAGCGTCATGTGATCATGAAAGGAGCCAGTGACTCCTGAGCTCAACCATTTTGGGGCCAGAAAGAAGAGGCAACAGACAAGATACAGAGGAAGTAGTTCTGATTTCATCTACAGCAGTTACCTGAACAGATCAATTTACCTGTGAAGTCCAATCTGCTGACCATTACCACACCCCACCTACTGGATTCCATGTTTCACCTTTTGCTCCCCAAATCCTCTTGCCTTGTTGAGGTTTCTCCCCCTCAGATTCTAAGCTCACAGCAATTCTAAGAGGGCCAAGCTTTTCCTCTTGTTACTGGGCTTTGTCCTTCAGGAAGCTCAGTCTCAGGGCCCCTGTTCTGCTCACTATAAATACCACATGCTTCTCCTCATGAACCTCTACTCCAGAAAGGGAGTGTGGCTTTCCTTTATCAAGACTCAAAGCAATAAATTGTCCCTCCTCCAAACCAACTCAGATCCTCAAAAACACATTGGTGACTCTGTGCTCACCCCTGTAATCTTAGCTACTCAGGTTGCT